ATCATGCCATTCCCTTCTGTCCTGCGGTTTCTGCAGAAAAATCTGCTGACAGTCTTATGGGAGTTCCCTTGTCCATAACAAGTTGTTTTTCTTTTGCTGATTTCAAGATTCTCTTTAACTTTTGACATTTTATTATAATCTGTCTTGGTGTGCATTTCTTGGGGTTCATATTTATAGAACTCTCTAGACTTCCTGGATCTGGATGTGTGTTTATTTCCCTAGGTTAGTTTTCAGCCATTATTTCTTGAAATAATTTTTCTGCTCCTTTCTCTCCTCCTTCCAAGAGCCCTATGATATGAATGTTAGTCCACTTGATGTTGTCCCGTAAGTCCCTTATGCTACCTCCACTTTTTTTCATCTATTATAGCTGTAGAATCAGGGTGTTTATGGGAGATGAGTTCAGAATCCTCTCAGAGCTAGGTGATCAAGGAGCATCCCTGAGTAGCATGTCCCAAAGACTGGGGCACCAGAAGTAAAACTGGGACACCAGATGCATATAAAAGCTCCCCTCCGAGAGATCCTGGTGCCCTCCAGAGGTCTCCAGTAGGTATAGTCAGCCCTTAGATGTGTTTAATTAGAAGCCTGCCCCTCAGGCTGCAGCTGTGATGATAAGCTGTTAGGCCTCTTTTACAGACTGAACTCCTGGGCCTGTTGCCTCTTGCTGTGCCCTGGGGATACTGGCCATTTAAGAACTCTTTCTCTGTTGGTTACAGTCCTGTGAGGCCCACCAGCATAAGCCCCACTGGCCCCCAGGGCCAGGAGATGTAGAGGTGCCCTCTAGCAGCAGCTGCAAAAACCAAGGTACCAGATATAAAACCAGGGCACTGGACACTTGTAAAAGGAACTTGTAAAAGTTCCTTCCTGAGAGATAATGGTGTTCTGAAGCACAGCAGAGGGAGAGTGAGAAGTTGGCGCCCACTGGCTGGGGAGTGACAGAGGGAGAGCACAGAGATGGTGCCTACCAAGAAAGAAAAGTAGAAAAAGAAAAAAGCCTAAAAGGGTTTTTTGTTTTTTTAAAGCATCCACCAGTTGGAGCAAGATAGAGGGAGTGCACAAAGATGGGTGCCCACCAGTCCCCACACCTAGAGTACCCCAGCATGCCCCCAAATGTGTCAAATCAGATGCCTGACCCTCAGGCCAGTGTTACAAGACAAGTATTAACAAGCCTCTCCTGCACAAAGTCCAGGCACCCTTCAACAGGCCATGTCCATGCTGGGCCCTGAGGTGGGTGAGTTCAAGTGTGTGAGCCCTTTAAGAGCTGCTGGGATCGCCAGTCTCGTGGGTCCTGTGGATGTAAGCCTGTTGGTTTTCAAAGCTAGGTATTTTAGGGGTTTATCTCTCAGGTACAGATCTTAAGAGCTGGGATGCCCAACGTGCGGTTCAACCCTTTGCTCCTCAGGCTGTTTTGTAGTTTTGAGTTCCCTCCCAGCTGTGAGTCGCTGCATTGGGGGTGGGACTTATGGCAAGATTGTGTCCCAGCTTCTCTGACCCCCTGTGACCTGGACCTTCTCTCATTCATTCAATGTGTACAAGTCAGTCAGTCTTTAGAGTTTTTTTTCCAGAGTAGGCTGTCCTTTATGTAGCTGTGGAATCAGGGAATTTATGGGAGGTGAGTTCAGGATCCGCTCACATTGTCCTCTTCCAACTGTATCATCACCTACAATTTGATGTCCATCTTTACATAACTGGAAAGATGAGAAAGGCCACCAAGAGCTGCAGTGAACCCATGGCCACAGGACCCTAAGGTTTCGTGTTTAATCCTCCTGTGATAAGCGGTTACCGTAGGACCCTGCTCGGGCCAGCTTCTGTGCTTCTCACAGGCCTGGAGCCTTGGAAAGAGCAGGTCTCACAAACATCGGCGTGTGTCTTCTTGTTCCAGAGTCTGTCCCACTGTGAGCTCATCACAGATGACGGGATCCTGCACCTGAGCAACAGCACCTGCGGTCACGAGAGGCTGCGGGTTCTGGAATTGGACAACTGCCTCCTCATCACCGACGTGGCCCTGGAGCACCTGGAGAACTGCCGCGGCCTGGAGCGCCTCGAGCTGTACGACTGCCAGCAGGTTACCCGCGCGGGCATCAAGCGGATGCGGGTAAGGGCAGAGGTGGGGGTGGGGGTGCTGGCACACTTTCTAAGCAAACAATGAATATGTCAAGACTCCATCTTCTACATTTTATCCTAAGCTTATAGTGATGCAAACTGATGTATTCCTCAAGTGTCTTCTTATTCAAAATTTTATTAGATCTCACCCTGGCAGATTCAACTTCCAGAATGGGTGTGGGGCAGAAGGTTCCAGAGTTCAGTGATCAGAATGTTGTAAGGAAAGAGACTTAAGGTCATTACCAGTGGGAAGGAGACCATGGTCTTGGTTAACTTCCAGAGAACAGGGCTTAAGTAGAAAGTGGCTTTTCTCCCCCCAGGTAGTTCACCTAGTCTTTTTTTTTTTTTAAGATTTTTATTTATTTGACAGAGAGAGACACAGCGACAGAGGGAACACAAGCAGGGGGAGTGGGAGAGGGAGAAGCAGGCTTCCCGCTGAGCAGGGAGCCCGATGCGGGGCTCGATCCCAGGACCCTGGGATCATGACCCGAGCCGAAGGCAGATGCTTAACAACTGAGCCACCCAGGCGCCCCTCACCTAGTCTTCTTGAATAGGCTTTAAGTTGAGGCAGCTTTGCATTTACCTCCCAGAGCTGCCCCAGGTGCTGGAGCTGTGCGGAGTCTGCTCGATGTACATATAGGACTCCTGACCGCCCCGGGCAGATATTCGGGTCTCTTCGCTTCAGGTCCCCTGTAAACAGAAATAGCTCTAGCCTACACCAGAAATTCTGTTTCTGCTATTTGCCTGAGAATCAAGGAGAGTCCATTCTACATGGAGAACTGTGGGCTTGTCTAGGATTGTGCCTGTAGCCCTCCAAATATGCATGTAATGACTACTCCACGTCCGTCTGCTTTCTGCTTCCAGGCTCAACTCCCTCATGTCAAAGTCCATGCCTACTTTGCTCCTGTCACCCCCCCGACAGCAGTGGGAGGAAGTGGACAGCGACTGTGCAGGTGTTGTGTCATTCTCTGACGGCGGCTGCATGAGCCCAAGGCACGATGAGGTGTCCCTTCCTCCAGAGAAGACCTGAGTCTTCCTGACCTGCTCCACCTTCACCCAAATCTCTTGGTTCTCCATCGGGAAAGACATTTACAGGTAAAAGAATGCAGTAGGGACTGCAGTAACTCTGGTGATAGTTTTCACCTTTAATCTGCTACGATGCAATTGAATCAAAGCCTTGTGTCTGCCAACACCCGGCAAGAGTGGTCTCAGCGCAGCCTGGACCACGCAGGAGACCTGGATCTCTTAAGAGGTGGGTGCCTTCTTAGGTACCAAAGTCCTGCTGTTGGCATTGTCAGCATTCCTCAAACAGCCCATCAGTGTTAGCACAAATCGAGCAGAAAGAGTAAGCTGTTGATTTTCTACCTGATACTTAAGCCAGTGGCCTGCTTTAATTCACACTGATTTCATTTTGATTAGCAGGACTTTTCCACTTTGAAGATGAAATAGCAACTTTCTCAAAGTGACCTGTACTGCAAATTCGTGATGCCTGAGAGTTTTATACGTAGACACTTAGGTGGGAGGCAAGTTAGGTTTCCATGAGACACCAAAGAAATGAGGACTCTGAACTGGGTGGAGCAGGGTCTTCACCTTTCTGTTTCTGTCAACTTGTCATATACACTTCCGGGGACCAAAACCTAAACAAACACAACTCAGAGTCTGTGTGGCCAGACTGCAAATAAGCTGTGGCAGGCGCTACAGCACAGAGTGCATTTTTGTTCTAGGAGAAAAGCTAATCATTAAGTTATCTATAATATATATAATCAATTAAAAATAATGAATGGATGCATGTAGAATGGGTGTGATTTTTTCCAAGTTTATTTTAAAATCTTAGAAATCAAGTTACACCAGAACTATTCAAAAATTGTACACACTTAAAACTCAGATCAGTAAAGTGTTGGCACCTTTTAGACTCAATATAAAAATGAATAAACCATTGCAATGCTTAAGTCAGAGGGTTTTATTGCTATAACCTTAATGGCAGACAAATCTGAGCAAAACCATTGGATGGGAAACCATTTTCCAAATTCAGACCTTCCTCATATTATCTAAAATCAGATAAGCTCTAGTTTCCATCCTGTGCTGTCCACATGTGTGATATTTATGAAGATTAGGAACCCATCGCCACTCTCACATCGTCAGCTTCAGTGTTCATGGCAGCTGACCCTTTCTAGCAGCCATTCCCCACCACGAAGAGCACGGAGCTCACGGGAAGCTGGAGTGGAGCAGCAAGCCCTATACGGTGCTTTCCCACGACCAGCCGTGCTTGCATCAGACGGACCATTTAGGGGCACAGGGGAAGAGAAGGCAGGTGCATACACGATCCCTTAATTTAACAAGATCATCAGAATAAGCATTCAAGCCCTGAGGACCTCACCGCCTGACGAGATCCTCCCATATTCCCAGGTCTAGAATGTGTGCGTATATACCGCAGTGGTTATTTTCATACACATTTAACACCACTACGTGTGGGGGCATGTCTGATGCAGGAAGCTATTTAAATAAAGAACATAATACACAGACTTGCTTCAGTAAATTATAGTCTCTGTTTTAAAATTTTCTATGACCAGGGCTGTCTTTTTTGAGCCAGGACACAACCTATCAGTTACTGGACTCACTCCTCAATGACCTATGACCTCATTAGAAGACAGGAATAGCTCAGGTGAGGTTTCTCAGATGAGAAAATCAGGTTTGCTTCCTCTGTAGGAGTGGAACAGTGAATGGAATAATTTGTCCTCCGTTGCATCAGCTTTGAGAAAACTGAAAAGAACACAACACATAGGCCTCACCTCTTACAATATGTGGGCTTAGGGGGGGCTCAGAACACACGCACGGAACCCCCTCGATTCCAGGACTTGAGGGGATACCGTCAGGAACCGGTATTTTAAATGAGACACGCGTTTGCAAAACAATCGGAAAACATTTATTATACTGAAATGTATACATCCTACTATTAAAAAAACAAAGTAACAAATTTGCTGGTGCCATAATTTAACCTGCTTCACTGGGACAGACTAATGTTCAATGCTGCTTGGTATAATTTCAAGTTTGATGAGCTTTTAAGTGTTTTTAACCCCACTTCTAAAACCTGATGAGGAATTCAAAATAGCACACAGCCTTAAATGACATTTATTGTTCCATATACCTTGAGACTCAAAAAGGAATGCTAAACAGACAAGCAAAAATCTGAAACAAGAGATATGCTCACTTCTTTCCCAAGTGATTGGTAACAGAAAACGTGTTCATATGAAAGCAAAGGGAGATGACAGAAAGGAAATATTACTCTGCTTTTAGGGCCTATAGGAGTTACAGATATTTTCAAACTGAAGATGAAAATATTTAGAGACTGGGCTTCTCTGTATCCAATAACCCTTTAAGAATAAAACACAGAAGGTCAAAGCTTTTACCCACTGAACTAGTCTGTCTTCTGGGAGATTTCAAAGCCCAAATTACTCGTTCCTATTTCTGCCAGAACAAAGATAAGATTCAAATAACACATTCAGAACCAAGACAGCTGCATAACTGGTCAGAGAAGCTATAGTTAAAGGGGAACTGAAGTTTAAAGAACTGGTCTGCTACACCACAGGCCTCACAGATGCTTCCCGGTGCGTGTGGGGAAGGCTCTGGGCAGAGGGAATCGAAAAGACAGGAAAATTGCAAAAGCAGTGGACTCCCTTTGAGAAGTGTACTGGCAGACAAGCATTTGGTTTTGTGGAAGAGGCACCCTTTTTATAGAAGAAGCTATTATGTGGTGTTTAAGAAAGCCTCTCAATCACCAAAATATTTACCCATGATTATACTAAAGCTCCTATATTTCAGAAGTGTGGAGAATTTTTACAGTACAATTTAGTGTTTCATTTATGACATCTCAATTGCCGTGAATAATTTCAACTTGTTGATAACAAAGACCCCTTAAAGCACATCAGAAATGACCCTACGTTTCCCCCCACCTAGGTCACCTGTTTCCATTGTCTGGGACAGGGCTTTAAAAATGTTTTAAGAATAGGATGGTGCTGGGTGGGGAGGGACAGAGAAAGGGAGGAACACCACATGAGTTTAAAAGGCAAGGGGGTTCAAAAATGAAAACCAGAAACAAAATGCTAAAAATGGAAGCAAAAGCAAAAGGTTTTTCAATAAATCTGGGACAAAGCAGAAACACAAAAGTCTTTGTACCTATTAGGATTTACACTGATCCTCTCACCAAGGTACTCTTGATAATGCAGTTTGTTTCAAGGCTGACTTCCTGGCTTGGGTCTTCCCCGATCTGGCACGAGCCCGTCACACACACCCTCAGACATGATTTCTTCCGAGAAGGCGCCAAGCCTCTTACCTGACCCGCGATCACGGTCTCGGCACATCGCACCTGCAGACAGATTCCATGCCGGCTCCACGACAGCACTGTCCCCCACCCCCGCTCTGGGGCAGCAGAAGGTTCAGGCCATAAAAGCCAAACTGGCACAGAAAGGTAAATGCCCACAGTATGTTTTACATTCATTTCCAAACCGCATACAGTGTAAAAAGACAGCAAAGGCTGCTTCTAGAAACTGTATCTACTGGCCTCTGCCAGAGAAGCAGGCAGCCCCGCCGGCACGTGGCCCCCAGAGCCACACGCGCACTGTCCCGATGTGCTCACGCTCACGAGGATGCTTGGCTATGGCAGTGACAGTGAGGAGATTCGCCTCTCATACAGCTCATTAGAAAGGTCATCTTGTGTTTTCAATATGAAACATTTCATACGCTAAAATCCAATCCCAGGACTTCTTGGATTCAGTCTTCACACACTTTTAAGCGTGACTTTATTTGGTACTGAATATAGTTCAGACTAAGTATGACGTCACTTCAAAACTATGTGGATACCATCACCGTTCTCAGCTGCAGGAAAAAAGAGATGTGACACACAGTTCTTTCAGGCAGGCCTAGGAAAACCAAGGCCGTTAAACTGAAAACTCCCAGAAAGCTGCAGTTTCCCGTCCCACTTGAAGCTACCTTTAAATGATTCTAGAGAAAGAGCATGCACACAGTCCCTGGTGAGGTATTTTACGTTTTGATATCGGGCCCATGCTGCCGGTCCGCTCTGGGGCATGCGGGGATGGAGACAAGCGGCCCAGGCGGCGTAAACAAAGGGGCGCGGGAGTGGGTGTGGACGCCGCGGCAGGCCCCCGGCACAGCCAACTGCACACAACACACACACACACTGAGTGCATCCATCCAACCTTCCCTGGAAATCAGCTCTGAGCTCCTCAGAGGCAGATCTGAAACGTTTTGAAAATATCACTACTTTTGTCTGACGGCCTAGTGTTTCTCAGGAAATGGCTAGAAGCGGTACAGGCATCCACCAAGGAACAAAAGAAATATTTTCATGAGGACAGGACTCTGAAAGACAGCATCCTGAGATTGGAGGGGATGTCCTGTGGTGTCTGACGTTAGCAACGTCCCCTGCTGTCATGGAACACAACCATCCGATTACAGTATGAATTTCCTTTTTTAGACAATTTTGAGTTTTGCAGAGTAAAAAGCTGTATTGCTTTGACGACAAAACGCTGAGCAGAAGAGCACTAAGCCAAAGATGCTGTGACAGCGAACGAGGAAGTGAGCCAGCCCAGGTTGGAGCCACCACGCCGCCGACGGGGTGGCAAATGCAGGGCGCTGCTGTTCTGCACTCCGCCCTTCAAGAGCGCCTCCCGGGGAAGGGGGGTGCAGGACCTGCTCTTCGAGCTGCAGCTTTTGTGCTCGGACTGGATTTGGATCTTAACTCACTGGACTTTTAAGTCTCTTCTCCTCATGTAATAATTTTCATTTAAAAATCCCTCCATTAGCCCTCCAGTTGGAACTTCTCTGAGACCCATCTGGGCCCTCCTTCCATATTCTTTCCCTAAATGACCGCAGCGACTTCCACAGCTGAGAGTCACTGCTGATGTGCTAAAGGCTTCCCAGTTACATCTCAAGCCCAGGCCTTTCCTGCCAGCCCCAGACAGAGACAATTCACTGCCAACTTGACCTTTCCAAGCACATGTGAAATGGAACTCTTGCCGCCCCCCGCCCCCAACCGGTTCTGCCTCTCTACTAGGGACACTGTCTGCCCAGCTGCTCTTACAAGAGTCACCCGCCCTCCCCCGACCCCCGCTCAACTGTGGAGCACAGCAGGACCTGCCCATAAATGTGTCAGACCTAGGTGACCTCTCCTGCCTCCAGCTTTCCCCCAATTCCCATCGGCCTCCACAGAGTTGCAAGAGTGGAAGAAAAACCTAATCACATTCCTTCTTTGTTTAAACAATTTCACTGACTTCCCAACGCATTTCAAGTAAAATCTCAACTACCGTTATACCAGGTCCTGCACACCAGACCGCACCTCCCACCCTGACTCCATCTTGCTCCGTGTGTCCCTGACACAGCCTTCACTAGGCCCTGCACAGCAGCCCGGCTCTTTCCTTCGCACACAGCCTCATACCCCCTTGGGGTGTTCCTAGGGTGAGCAGCTCCCCTCACTCTTCAAGTCTCAGCATTATTGACACCTTCTCAGAGAGGCCTCGCTCATCTGCTCCATGTCCCCCTACCCGGCACCCCCTTAAACACAAGCACCCCCACTTTCCCACTCCTTCACAGCACTTAAAAGATTTTGTAATTGTATGCACTTGGTGGCTAATTCTGGTTTGCTTTCCCCACTAGGAGTTCCACGGAGTGTTCTGTTCAAGACCTTTCTAGAACCAAAAGCTGTCTGAAAGGTGTTCAGGAAAATGGTGGCTGAATTGAGTATTTTTTCCCAATAATCTAGGACTGACTCCTCTTATTTGCTAGTTTATTAACCACTAGGAATATTCTCGATTCATTTTTCAAACTCTTAAAACTAGTAAAGCCAGCATTTTCAAAAGTAAACACACAAGATGACTACTGATTACAGGCACACACCATCTTTCATGATTTCAGCATTTCAAGACACATGCACTCATGCAAAGTACCTTTTACTGTGAAGAATAAAAAACAACTCTCATCTTGAAAGTTCTGAACCATCTAGAAGGATAAAGCAGATAACACAATTAAGATCCAACTGTTTTTTCTGAGCTGATCAGAAAAGAATAGAATTAGCAGCTCCAGGAAAATGTCATCATCTACATACTGTTGCACAAATACAGAACTCGGTGGTCAAAACGGTAACTGATGAAGGCAGTGTAAGGTAGTAAACGTTTCCACCTGCTGCACTGGCGGGGCCTCGTGCTGACGAGGCCTGCCCGTGCCCGGTCCCTGAGACAGCCCTACAACCCACCTGACCCACTGGGAGCTTTCCCCGACAGGCCCTGTGAATAACGACTCTTAACAGAGTCACGGTCTTAGCGGTCTTCTATTATTACCTGCTTGTTGCGGAACACTGGGGGAACAATAACCTTAATGTTTTTAAAAACCAGCCATCAGGAGCGCCTGCGTGGCTCAGTCGGTTAAGCGTCTGCCTTCGGCTCAGGTCATGATCCCAGCGTCCTAGGATCGAGCCCCGCATCAGGCTCCCTGCTCAGCGGGAAGCCTGCTTCTCCCTCTCCCTTTGCCCCCCCACCCACCACCACTCATGCTTTCTCTCTCTACTAAATAAAATCTTTAAAAACAAATTTTTTTTTAAATAAAGATCAGTCATCAAATAGGAAAGAAAAGGAAAACACATCCAAAGACCCCCCTACATAAACCTGGCCAAAGCCCCACTAACCCCGGAGCCCCCAGTGAGTGTCTAAGGGAGGACGGAGGGCAGAGGGGGCCAAGCCACAGGTCTGGGTTTATATCCCTTGTATCGCCAGGATACCCGAAACTCCTGGTTTTAGATTCTTACAAATTTGACCCCAGCTCTTTAAAACTGATTCTCAGGAGTACTTGCACAAGAGATCACAGAATTTTTCCGGAGTTCTTCAGTGACAGAAAATAAAGGCCAGCGTGGAAGGGAGCAGCAATGGCACGGCCAGTTCACGTTACCTGATCGCTAACAAGAATGTGAATACCAGTGGGCCCCTGTCTGTAGACCTGGTTAATCTGGTGGAAAGGAATATTAAACACCAATGCAAGTTTTCGAGCAACTTCTGAAGCAACCATTTCTTCCAAGTAGATTGCATGATACACTGAAATAAAAAATAAGAGTAGCATTTTAGCAGTAATCTTTGATCTGTTTTCCATGTCATCTCTAAGAAGATCACCCCTTTCAAAGTACTAAAAAAAATATAAAAATTAAAAATGGGAACTAGTTATTTCTTTCCTCCCTTACCACCTACTGAAATAATAATAAATTATACCACATGTACAATTTAATAAACATTAACACTAATATCTGTACAGAAGGATCTGAGGTTTTAATTTTTCTTAAAAAACAAACAGGAATTAACTGTAAATGGGCACAGGGGCCTTTCTGGAGTAATGGGACTACTAAAACCCAATGGTGGTAATGGCTGCCAAACGCTCAAGTGACTAAACTGTCTTGGAACTGGACACTTACAGTGGAAGGATTCTGTGGTATATAAATTATAGCTGAAGAAAGCAGTTTTCAAACATCATGTGTTTCTAGTGATATATAAAAAGAACTCTGTTCTTGATTCAGTAATCCTACTACGGGGAATGTATCCCAAGGAATCCCCCCGAGAATGAATGGAACACGGTGTAGAAGACACAGCATAAGAAGCTAAGGACGTGGACAGTGGCACCTACTGTTGCTTCCCACAAGCTGCAGTGCAGTCCAGCCAGGGGCCCGGGTTTCTGGAACCTTTAACTCTGCAGCAGCCGCCATCTGCTGCCAGTGCATCTGCAGCAAGCACGGCTCTTGTAGGTCCTGCTCAGTTACGGCCTAAGCCAGCCGGCCAGCGAGCGGAGCATCAGTGCTAGAACTTGGCTTCCCCAAACTGGGGTTTCTTGTGTGCTTACAATAACGGAAACCTCTGCTAATTACACATTATGGAAAGCTTTGGATGTGGAACTACAATTAAGGGGAGACACAGAGCTGATGTAGAGCGGAGTCCCCAAACTACAGCCTGTGTGAGCCCAGCCCTGCCCTCACTCGTTCTTTCCCAACAGAACTGTATCAGAACGCAGCCGCACCCATCACTATATCTGGTCTGGGCTGGTTCTGGCGCCGCAATGGCAGGGCTGGTGGGAAAGAGCCCCCCAAGTCCACAAAGAGGCATTTCCTACTTGGCCTTTTAGGGAAGTTTGCCGAAACTTAGAAAACCCCTGATCTAGGGCTAAGTTGGCCAACATTTCCCACTCTCCTCCACAAACACGTTCCCCAGTCCAACAGGCCTGACCGCATAGATGGAAATGATATACAAGATCCTGGTGATACCTGGAGAGCTCCTTTAGAATGTTACCGTTTCAAGCTAAGCCTCTGTATCTTTAGTCTTCAAATTCACAGCTTTTAAAGTCAAAATGACACCAAGTGGAAAGGCTCACAAGAGTGATGCTTTCTTTTGGATTTTTCGAACACCAAGTGATTCTCGGAGCTCTACCCAAAATTAGGGTAAATGATCACCTCTGTGAATTCCATAACACACTTCTCTCTGGAAAATTCTGAGTGTGTTGCCCTTATTTTGTTTCAGAATATGGGAAGAGGGAAGAGGGGAGGTATTACCACGCACCCAACCTTACAAATAAGAAAACACATCCTTTAAAAGGCGTAATTGCTTTTGTTTTTAAGGGCCATATTCAGAGGAGAGAAGGGCCAGGGTCTGTCTCTGCCCTCAGCCAACGCTCTCTTACACAAGTAAGGAGAACCCGTAGGCTGAGAAGGATGGCTACTGGCGTGGAGTGCTCAGCACACAGCTCACAGCACTGGCCGGCTGCGCGTCGGACACAAGTCCGCGCGCTTGGTGCTGGGACGCATGTGAATCTCTGCACGTGTGACAGTTTATGTTTCTCCCCCCAGTCAGTAAAATGGAAAGGAAAAAAAAGAAAAACCCTCCTGCTTTCTTGCCATGCTACCAATGTTATACTCATCATTTCAGTAAATCTGAGGTTTGTGGGGGGGAATAGAAGCCAGCAAAACTCCAAAAAGCACTCGAGCTGGGCTTTTGCTTGTTAGCTCTTCCCGGCAAGGAGACTTGTAGAGTGGCGGCGAGAGCAGAGAAAGGCAGCTCGCTTCCTCTCTGGGGAAGCCTCGGCCCCAGGACCGCTGCCCCACCCCCCCATGCGGTCCGCACTCCCACCCAGCCTTCCTGTTTCTGCCTCGCTGTCCGAGGTGCGCTCTGGACCCACCGTAAGGCGTCCCACCGCCACTGTCGCCTCCGCCGCCGGCCGGCTGCTGGCCCTGCAGGGGTGGGCTGCTCGGCTGCTCCTGGCAGACGTAGATGGTTAAGCGGGGCCTAACCGACCTGCAATCAGAAGACGCCCCGCGTGAGCCGGCGGGAGAACGCCGCCCCGCAGCAGGTACAGATGCCAACTACAGGACTCTAGGCTCTATTTCCTTACGCAGACTTTATGGTATTAGTTCATTACATGAAATAAATGACTAGTAAAAATATAAAAACACACACCTCACACCAACTATCACAGGTGGTCTAATCTGATGATCCAGACTCTAAACCATTGAGATGGTCTGTCAGATGCTGGTAAATTTAAGTTTCAAGATTAAGTCAGCAATTTAAAGTTAGTAAGATTCAATTTTAATGGAATTCTCACGCCACAAGTCTAGAAATAGCAACGATAGTAAATGCATCTTAAAAGCCCGAAGAGTTTACAATTCCATCATTTTCATTCACAATCAGAAGTTTACATTTTTAACAACTGTTTAGTAGTAGTCATATGACCTTGAAAACCATAGATTCTGTATCGCTCACCTAAATGAGAAGTTTGTTTTCTTGGCAACAAACCCAGTCGTCTTCAAGAAATCAGTCCTGCCCATGTGCATTTCTACAGCCTTACAGTCTACCTCTGCCCTCATCAGTGCCTGCATCATACCTGGGCCCGCCCTGAGGGTGCACACAAAACAGTCTTCTTGTGAGCGCAATGCCGCCCACGCCCCACAGCGCGCACGTGCGCCAACCGCCAACCTAGCGCGGCCACGTTCTGCCCAAACTCCCCACGCAAAGGCACGTCCTCAGCTCAAGCAAACAGTTCCTAACAGTATTTTACCTGGACTTCAGGGAATTATAGAGCCGAATTCCATCGGCTGCACCACAAATTTGTACTAAATCCTCCTTTGTCAGTTTTAGTAAGTCGGCACCTGGAGAACAGCAAAAAGATTCTTTTCAAAGAGATGGAAAAAGAACAAGCAGGACTGGCTGCCTTACAGCATCTGCCTTCACACAGTGAGCTGTCCCTCAAAACCACCATGGTCTCCTGCGTGCACACTCGACACAAACACGGGCGCGCGCACACACTCCCTGCCCCACGGAGAAAGCAAGCAAGTAAATACAATGCTGGCACTTCCGAGCCCTGTACGAAGGAGGGGCTCAGAAGCGCAGAGGCAGGTCAATCAGACAGATGCGCGGGGCCCACAGGCCTGTCTGTTCCCCGCACACGACCTCGCCGCCCACCTTGTTTTGGCTGGCTGGTGGTTTTGTGGATAAACAGGACTCTGACCCCAGATAATTAACCTTGAGATCACAATAATAATGTTTTATTTTACAAAAAGAGGAAGTGGAAGTCTAGCGTTTTGGGGACCCGCCCAAGCTGGTGGCTAAGTTAGGACTAGGCCTCTTTACACTTGCCAACATTCTGCAGCGTAACTGTCAGCAGCCAGTTCTAGTACGAAAGCGAAAATCCTACGAAAGGATTTTCCCCCACAGATCGCCAGCGTAAATGACACGGTATCTAGGATTTGCTTTAAAATAGAATAGAAAAGCGGGAGAGAGAAGAGAGCAAAACCGACCAAAGGCTGGGGGTGGTTACAGGGAAGTTCATACTCTCCTACTTTTTATGTTTGAATGTGTCCGTAATCTCTTTTTTCGCTCTATTATCACTCAAGATGTAGTTTATTGGTACAATTAAGATGACCTCTGGGATTAAGGCATGACTTTCATGTAATAAGTACCTGCTGCTTAGGTATGTAACAAGATAATGGGGTTGTCTTTCTATTTTTGAAGGCCTGAAGGGGAGAGCCTAATAACTTCTAGCTTGTAAAAGAAATAAAGACCAGAGAAGCCCACCCCCATGAGGCACGAACACTAAAGGAGTTGTTTTCCAGAGCCAGGGAAGCAAAGACTGGCTGGCTCCCCGGTCTCTCCTGGGGCCCACAGCTGTGGCCAGGGATGGGTGTGTGCATCCCCTCAACCTGCACAAAGAACTGGACAGACGCTCATGCGCACAGCCTTTTCTGAAGGTGAGTGCCCAGAGGCTCCGAGCCAGCAGCCTCACCCTCTCCTTCCGGTTCTGCTGGGAAGCTCCTCGGTGAGGAAAATGCAGGAGGCCAACCCATGGGAGTGCTGCTCACAGTGAAAAGAGCTTCAACTTCTCCAGACAGAAACATGGATTCATCTAACAGGACCTCCCTCGGTTCCCACTGCCGGAGCTTTTTGTATGTGCTCTGCTCTTCATTCATGTGTCTTGCCTATGAGGGTTCAAGATGCATCTTCCCCACACAATGAAATTTTTAAATTTCCAATTTTTCACAGATAAAAATATAGTCATATAAAAATGTGGCTACAAGCCAGCAAGACTTTCACACAGTACTTTAATTTTAAAGAGACAAAGAGCTACACAGGGAATGACTACTCACTGCACAACATCGCAATAAATGGCTGACGGAACAGGAAACCACGTTCTTTGTGCAATCAAGCTTTCCCCTAGGCCAGGCGTGTGCACGCAGTTCTGTCCTCTTCGAAGGCTTGCCAGTACTGCACTTCCCTGGCCCCACAGCATCATGGGCAAGGCAAGCTCACTACCAGTTTACTGTGGCCCAGCAATTCTCGGGAGGTGTTTAGCCAGGCTATGTTAGGGAAAGGGTCCCAGGGCCAAATACACTTGGGAAATGCTGCCCCCGCCCCACGTGGTCTATCTATCACTGTCTCTCTAAACAGAGAGCACCACCTGGAGAAGCTCTGCTTGGTCCCTTTTAATATTCCACCAACAGCGGCGCCTGGGCAGCTCAGTTGGTTAAGTGTCCAACTCTTGGTTTTGACTCAGGTTCTGATCTCACGGGTTGTGAGATCAAGCCCCGCGTCAGGCTCCACACCCAGAGGGAGTCTGCGTGGATATTCTCTGCCTCTGCCCCTTCCCCGATTTGTGCATGCATGCTCTCTCTCTCTTCCCCCCATATAAATAAATAATATCTTAAAAAAAAAAAAAAAACCAACATACTCCCTTAGCTAACTCTGTAAGAAAAACTTAAAAGTTTAAGTATACAAAAATCATACCTGAGTAGATTCATATCACATACTACTACACAGCAATAAAGAGGAACTATTACTATATGTAATCACTTGGATAGACTCAAGGGCATTAGGCTGAGCGGAAAAAAAAGCCAATCTCAAAAGGTCACATACTATGTGATTCCAATTATATATAACATTCTTGAAATGATAAATCCAAGAGACAGAAAACAGATTAATGGTTGCCAGGGAACAGGTATGAATGGGGGAGGGGCAGGGAAGCATAAGGGAAATCCTTGTGGTGATGCTGTAATTCTATATCTTAATTTCGGTAGTGGTTTCACGAATCCATACATGTGATAAAATGACACAGAACTATATACACACATTGCACCAATGTCTATTTCCTAGTTTTGATATCATACTACGATTATATGAGAAACTGAGTGAAGGGTACATAGAACACCTCTGTATTAACTTTGCAAAAGATAGTAAGGCAAAAATTACTTCAAAATGAAGTTAATAAAATGAGAAAAATTGCACAGAACTGTATACACTTGTACAAAAATGAAGGCACATGAAACTGGTTTTGGGAGATTGTACTGATGTCAGTTTCCTGGTACAAGACGTATGCAGGATGTCACCACTAGATGAAACTGGGTATGAATCCATCATTACTTCAAAAAAGTGTTTTAAATTAAGGTTAATAAAAGTACAGAAACAAGTACAAAAGACACATGTACACAAAGATGCACACACACAAAACATACCTGAAAAATTGGAAAACAGTCTTGTGTAGGAAGAGAATCTGTTTTTGAGCAGCCATTGTTGTGTTTCCTGGATCGTGGCTGAAGGCTGAAGTTGCTATTAACAAAGAAAATGAACACAAACAGAAGAAACTATTCAAACTTACCAAAAAACCCCAAGTCACTGGCATGTTATAAAGAACAACACTTAAAACAAAACACAGAACTCCTCCAAGGTTAAAGTAAAAAAAAAAAAACAAAAAACCACCCAAGAGGAGGACAGGTCTGACTACTCAGAGACCCAAATAATGCCTCAAGCCCCTCTAAGAGCCTTAAAACGCAGGCCCCTGGGCAGCTCAGTTGGTTGGGCGACTGCCCTCGGCTCAGGTCATGATCCCAGGGTCCTGGGATCGAGTCCCGCATCGGGCCCCCTGCTCAGCGGGGAGCCTGCTTCTCCCTCTGCCTGCCACTCCTCCTGCTTGTGCCTCTCTTTGTCTGTCAAATAAATAAATAAAACCTTAAAAAAAAAAAAAAAATTGCAGGGGCGCCTGGGTGGCTCAGTCAGTTAAGCAGCTGCCTTCAGCTCAGGTCATGATCCCAGGGTCCTGGGATCGAGCCCTGCATCGGGCTCCCTTCTCAGTGGAGAGCCTGCTTCTCCCTCTCCCTCTGCCTGCCTCTCTGCCTATTTGTGCTCTCTGTCAAATAAATAAAATCTTAAAAAAAAAAAACAAAAAAACGCAGACCCCTTAGAGCACTGGACAGCTTCAGGATGAAAACACTTACTTCAATGGAGGCCTGTGAAACTCCATCTCCCTGATGGTTTGGGGAAGAAGAATTGCTGGGGAGAACGGAAGGAAAGAAAGGAGAATTATTACACACACACACACACACACACACTTAAATCAAGACATTAAAGGGTATTAAACTGGGTAAATTTAATCTAATATTGTAGAACAGAGCATGCAGATTTGCAATTAAGAATGTTGGCACCACTGGTCAGGGAGTATGATGAAACTGACAGGAGGCGGTTTAACTGGTGCCTCCTCCTCCAGCAGTTCTAGTAAGAACTTCAAGTTTTAGGAAACAAAAGGATTCCAATTATTTCCAGGGGTGCCAGGAAAATGAAGGATACTCATTCATTTTAGTAAGGAAAAAGATATGAGAAATTAAGAAAGAGTTAAAAGTAACTGCAAAATACACACACATACACACACACACTTTAATAAAATAAGGAGCACCAAGAAATGGTCCTAAGTAAAAATGGAAAATGATACCCCTTTAATTAATATTTACCCATGAGTAAAGAGGGAGAAACTCAGGGAAGCAAAAGGAACAAAGGTGTGCCACTCTCTCTGAGTTTTTAAGGTCAAACAAAAATGAAGACAATTCCACAGGGAGTGTGGTGCCTTCCTGGTCCTGGGCTCAGACCCCTTCCTCAGCGCCTGTACTTCAATTACGTAAGTTCCAATGCTGACTGGTGACTGTCCCTCTGGGCCCACGCAGACAGGGAAGGTGTGCGTCACCTGCAGAGCAGAGAGCACAGGTCCTGGCCAGCGCAAGGTGCGCGGCTCCCGGGAACTGCGCGATCAGCCAGCAGTGCGGGAGCCCAGAGCCAGCCTCCGAAGTCATGACTGTGGCCCAAGACGACTCGGACTGGGCTGAGACTAAAACGGCCCCCACATGAGGACATGCCAGTCCCTGGTCTCTCCGACGCAGAGTCCAAGAGTGTGTTCCTCCTCGAAAAGCACAAAGATCTACAAGATGAGCTGCCTGCCAATCTACTCATCTCTGCAGGGAAAAGCATGTTTTTGTTTGTGTTCTTATCAGACCCTGTTACAGACTGGATATTTGTGTTCCCTCAAAATGCTTATGTTGACCAAACTCACCCCCCCGGCATGACAGCGTGAGAAGGTGGGACCCCTGGGAGACGACCAGGAAGGCAAGATCACAAGGGCCTCTGCTCCACCACGGGAGGACCCGGGTGGCACCTGCAACCCAGAGGGCCCTCGCCGGAACCACCCGGACCTCACACTTCCAGTTCCACAACTGCAAGAAACAAGTTTCTGTTGTCTCTAAGGCCCTGGTCTGGTGTTCCGTCATAGCAGCCAGAGCTGACCGAGACAGACCTGCTGTCGGCGTGGCCTGAGTGTAAGGAGGAGAACCTTTCCCTCAGCAGTCTTGTGTAACTTTCCTTCCCAGCGAGAAACTTCGATCTGACCTGCTCGGGATCAACTCTTCAGCAGAGCCCCAGGAAGGCAAGGCCCCCCCCCAACCCTGGGGCACCATGTGGCACCTGCAGGACCCCTGTGACACCGTCCCCTGCCCCCACCCAGAGCCTGCAGGGTTCACAGATGCCAATCACAGCCAGAGAATAAAACAGAACAAGTCCACCATCCCCATTTCTAAAACCACAGTAAAGTTTTAGAAATTAAAAGCCTTTCCTTTAAGTTTAAAAACTTACCATAATAAATAAATAAGTAAATAGTGTGTATAATGTGAGGCAGAAAAAACAGGGCAGGAAACAGCTCGTTTGATACGGTGTGCACTGAAGACAAACGTTCTTTATAATAAATGCAATCTGAACACATCCAAGTCAAGTTTCACCTTAATAACTCACAGTCCTTCTCTATCCATGAACTCCACTCATGTTCTTTTTCTCTCACAAAGAATGCAGCTTGAAAACGCCCCCTTTTCTACAATTTCTACGGCTGTGAATGTGTGAGGCATGAAGGGCTAAGAGCAAAAAGGCTGGCAAGCAAAGAAAAGACAGTTCTCCTCTGAAACTGAGGCGGCTAGCTCCCATGACCATACACCTCAAATATATATACAAAAGAGGATGTTGGCAAGTGAGAGGGACGGCAATGAAGGAGCACGGCATGGCCAGCCCTGGGTGTGCGACGGCACGAAGCGGTACCTGTCGGGGACGCTGCAGGTGCCCTGCTGTGGGGACGTGAAGGCGGGCGCTGTGGAAGGGCTGCTATTCACGTAGGCTGTGGGGGTATCGGGCCATGGAGAACACTAAGGATAGAAACAAAAATAAATTAACGGGAGGCTTTTAGAAGTGTATGGAAGAAATATTTTTGTAAGTCACTCTCTAGTCTGGCCAAATGCGAGGTTATAAAACACAAGACACCTGACACTCATCAAGCAACCTCACAGAAACGTATCAAATTTACTTCTGTGTGGCTTTCCCTGCCACCTGCATCTACACACGGATTCATCTCAGGGAAGACCTGAGTGATGAGAGCAGCAAAATGTATGCAGGCATTTTTAACGTATACTTCTCCAAGAACTTCCACTTCCCTGTTTATCAGCTCTGCAGCAGGTACCTATCAAGGTTTAGAACAGCAGAGGCAAGAATGGATTCACAAGTGACATCTGACACCTACAGTGACAGGGGCTCTGTCCCCCTAGCGCTCCTCTGCCCTCTCGCCCAAGGAGCAGCCTGGCCAGTACCCACTTGCTTCCTTGATTCCTCTAAAATTAATAATCCCCAAGCAAGGTGAAGCAGGCCTAGCATCAACACACATCAACAGGTACCATGCTGCCCATGTCTCTCTACCTGTCTACACATGTTTAGTATTTATAGTTTCTGGAAGGGGCATGGTGATCTAGGGCATCTTTCAAACCCAGGTCCCATTCTGACCAAAGATAGAGCAAAGATACAAAGAGATGCACTGACTATTACAATCAGGAGAGGTGAAAAAGCTGAAGTCCAAAGCATGCTGAGCAGGCTGAGCAGGCCAGGGCAGCCAAGTACAAGCCTTTAAACCTGAGCTACGTATGGAGCGAGTCCATCTCACTCCCTGATATTCCATCTAGAATGAGTCCATGTCAGGACGTCCTCGGTTCCAAGGCCCCCTTCAGAATCATTATTCTCCCATTTTACACAAAAAGTCGTTATACCTCACCATGGACAGGGGATAGAAGACCCTCCCCCAAACCAAGCAAAAGACCATTCAAAGATATTAGGATAAATAAAAAAGTATATGACTCTTGGGGCCCCTGGGTGGCTCAGTCGTTAAGCGTCTGTCTTCGGCTCAGGTCATGATCCCAGGGTCCTGGGATTGAGCCCCGTGTCCAACTCTTGCTCAGCAGGGAGCCTGCTTCTCCCTCTGTCTGCCGCTCCCCCTGCTTGTGCTCTCTCTCTCCTCTGACAAATAAATAAAATCTTAAAAAAAAAAAGTACATGACTCTAAATTCTTCTGGTGACACCTGGGTGGCTCAGTCAGTTAAGTGTCTGCCTTTGGCTCAAGTGATGATCCCAGGAGCCTAGGATCGAGCCCCACATGGGGCTCTCTGCCCAGCGGGGAGCCCGCTACTTCTCCCTCTCCCTGCTGCTCCCCCTGCTTGTGCACACACTCTGTCAAACAAATAAATAAAATCTTTAATAATAAATTTAAAAAATTAAAAAAATAAAACAATTCTTCTGTATGTCAGGCAGTTTTCAATTCCTTGCCTTCAGAAACTTCAGGAGACCTGGTGTCAACTGACACGTACTGAAATAATCTACCTGTTCCTACAAAAATAGGTCACTGGGCTTTTGTGCAGATAACTCAAAAGGAATTTCAAGACCTGAATGACACTGCTCAAAGAAAAATAAGCACATCTAAACGAAGTTTCTCTTATCTATAAAAAAAATCTAGAATTTGGTTGCATTCTACCCTGTCTCATTCTTCATGATATATTTCCAATAACATTTCTATGTTTACAATTAACTATTCATCAAAATGTATATGATTTGTTGTTTTGATAAACTGGTACTAATCATTAAGTAGTTTTCAATTTCTCGGGGTGCCTGGCTGGCTCAGTCAGTAGAACATGTGACTCTTGATCTCGGGGTGATGAGTTCAAGCCCCACAACGGTCACAGAGTTCTCAACTGACTCACAAGCCTTATGGTCAGAGGAAATATTAAATCTCAGTTTCTGTAAGTATGTCATAAAGAAGTAATTAGGGTGATCATTTAAAGATTTTCAGGCAGGGGCACCTAAGTGGTTCAGTCAGTTGTGCATCTGACTCTTGGTCTCAGCTCAGGTCATGATCTCAGGGTCGTGAGACTGAGCCCCATGTCAGGGTCTGAGCTCAGCGGGGAGTCTGCTTCTCTCCCTCTCCCTCTGCCCCCTTACCCTGCTCTCCCGTGTGTGCGTGCACTCGCTCTCTCTCTCACATAAATCAAAATTCAAAAAAAAGATTTTCAGGCATAAAAGTACGTCATATTGGGATTAAATTATTTATGGGGAGTGGAGGAGAAAACAGATCAAGAAGGAAGAGTGGGATAAAATTTCAGACTTAGGAGCTTCATCATGAACTTTTGAAATGAAAGATACTGGGTGTCAAATTGCTATGAATACACTTCCAAAAGTAGTGTAATAGCTTTCTCTTAAATTATAACACAAATATTTATGGTGCCAGAAAATTGTCTTCTTTGCAACTTATGATGAAAACTTTCCTGTTAACCTGAACATGTGCAAGGGAGTATATACTTTCTCAAAATTCTTTTGCATGATGATGATGAAATTTATGATGAAAACTTTCCTGTTAACCTGAAAACGTGCAAGGGAGTATATACTTTTTCAAAATTCTTTTGCATGTAGAAGGAGCTAAGAGACTGTGAAGCACTGAGGGCAGAAACTAGTCTCCCCGACGGTTATAGGTGCTTACAACATATCTAACACCCATCAGAAGTACGGACAGAAGGAAAATAAAATAGAAATCCTAGGCTCTTAACATTCTTTACAACCACTCATTATGTATCCCCTCAAAAAATGGAAAAGTGACTACTACAGACTTACTGTTTCAACTACTACCAAGTTTCAAAAAAGCAATCGAATCTAGCTGGACAGCACCGCTGAACTCACTGCATGCACACCAATTTCACTCTAAACACCCTTTTACACACAACAGTGCCCCCTCCTTTTAAACTAGGCCCTCGTTTCTCTCTTCATCTTACAAAGTAGTACCTCTGCTGCTCGTGCAGTCTGAGGAACCCGACTGGCAGATCTAATAACTTCTGGCTGTCACATGCTCATGATCAGCTCCACTACGTGGAAGATGATTTTCCTGCTACACCATCCTCCCCAGATACAAAATATTACGACAGAGCCTAACATGCACATCTAAGTAAGGTGAACCTTTTAGTATCAAGCCTCCCCACACCTGCTCTGTTCATCACTGCCCACTGTCTGAGGACGTGAAGCCATCAACAGCTTCAAGTTAGCACAGTAAGACAGTGGGGACACCAAATGTGCAGAACCTCCATAAACACAACTATTTCATTTTTACATACCTCAATTCCTTTAACAGGAGAAAAGCAGGATTGCTAATTAATAGCTGACATCTAAAACTTGCCCAATAAATATGAAGCCAGACTCACTGAACACCAGGAAACCAATGTTTGGAGAAAACTGTCCTGTTGGGAGGCCTCGGCTTTTCGGGAATAATGGGTGGCAGGGTCTCAAATGGCCAGGCTGCTTGCCACACTGCAGCCCACCTGCACATGTCTTACGGGCTCCTCTCCCAGTCTCAAGCCAGGAGGGCAAGGGCACACGGAGGAAGACTTGCACGATGTTTCTTCTACCTTGTCCTGCCTCCCTGTCTGGAAAGGTAAACAGTGCTGGACTGCTTCTGGTCCTGAGCAGAGTCTGTAATTCATGATGCCTCCAGCACTACCTGGCTTGGATTTGCGTGGGCACAGTTTTGGTGTACCGTGAACAAAGCCCCGCCCCCAGCAGCCTGGAAAATGCTGACCCACCTTAGACTGTAGATATTGGCAGTCCCGATGTGAGCCAGTAAAATACAGCTCAGAGACCAAGACCCCCGGATGCATTAAAGGGTTTGCTGGGTGGCAGCTCTTCAGAACCAACAGTAGGGCCTCTGTTCAGTGTGGGACCGGTTCACACAACACCTTTTAACAGGTGAGCCTGACCTCCCTTCCTAATGAAAGCCAACTGTCACTATCCAACAACTATGAGAAATGCTGGCCTTTCTTTGTAGGCACTTGCAGAAATATAGGAAATGCTGTGGACTTTTTTTAAGGGATTAATCTGTACCTTGCTTTTTTAAACAGGTTTCAAAGAGTAGCTCTAACCACCCCCTTGAAGTAGCTTAACCCAACCAAACACAGCCCAGGGCAGCAAGAAACACACTCTAGGAAGATGTGAAATCCCAGGCCAGTGAACTGCTGACGTTTTGCATACTTTAGACTTGAGTTCAGAATTATTAATAATTTACCAACAATTCTACCATCTCCAGATTAGCTCTGGGCTATAACAGATTTCTTTAATTTATGAATTATCAGAACTCATTCCTTTTAACTAACTAGTTTCCAACAAGAAGGGAAAAGTGACTTGAGTTACAGGATCTCCCCAGAAAAGTTTACGGAGAACTATTTGTGAGTCTTCAGCTGGGAAATGAGACAGAGGATTAAAAACATAAAACTGGAGGGGGGCATTCCAGGGAAGGAGCATACAGTTGTTCCATACAACCTCTGACCCAAATCCAAAAAGCCCAGTTAAAGAAAATGCATCATGTGTGCTCCCCATCCATCCAGACGACTACATTTTCAGGGTTATTGCATAAAGAGCACTAAAATATCGTCACGCAATGCTTTAATTTGGAAATGAGGTTCTTGTGATAGTGCCTGTGACTTTCATAGCACAGAGAATTACATACATGTGTGAGCGTGAAAATCCCATGTTTGGCACCTTGACAGTACAAACACTGCAATGAGATGGAGAGAGTAGTGACTGATACATATGATGACAGTTACTTTTAAAAATTAGAGAATGCTCTGTGTTTACATTAACTGCGGGTACATGGTGATCTAAGTTTAAAGAACAGGATGAACCTTTGTGGACCGTTCGATAAAGAACTGGGTCATAAAATAAGGATCTGCTGCACTGAAGCTGACAAAGCCAAACCCCTTGACTGCATGTTGGGTCCGAGGGTAGCAAGGTGCGCTATTCTGGCCTGAAGCAGAAGATCACGATGCAGGAGCCAAGAGGAAACACCGATGCAAAGATTTCTTTTTACCAGTGCCACCAAATGGGCTTTTAAAAGCACAGACGCACATTCTTATACTACATGCAGGGAAATGTGACACAAAGTATTGCATGTTAATGTCAAGCTTGCTGCCATCATTTCTCTAAAAATCCATGAAAGTTTCTTAACAGTTATAAAACATGAGAAAGCAAAACCTTTTTTAATTACACAAAAATAACTATTTTACTAAAGAAAGTATTTTCAATTAATTTCAGTGCTCTTGAAGGAAGTGTGTGTGCAGAGGAGAGAGAGGGAGGGAGGGAGGAGGGGGAGGAGACAGGGAGGGAACACATTTCTGAGTGTCGTTTTTCCCTCCAAAACCACCCAATATGGTCAACTTTGTTTTAAAGTGTTAGATTTAGGAAATTTTCCTCAGTGAGGAACAAACAGAAAGCAGGAAGTCTAAACAAAAGCAAATTAAATCAAGACAAGGACATCAAAAACAAATTTGGCTTTACTTTTCGGCGGAAGTTGATCCTATATCTAACACTGCACAAGGTTTCTTGCACAATGAAAAGAGAAGCAGAAGTCCCTTACACTGCCTCGCTTTGCCAGAGAATCACCGTAGTCTGCTGGCAAAGTCCGCTTGCTGGACTTTTTCTGCTCATGTTCAACTGCATCTTCAATTATAGGCTCAAGCCTCATCTGGACAAACACCAAAGATTGGGATCAATGTCTTTTCATTATACAAAGAAAGATCTAATACCCTGTTTTATGTCTCTGCAGTCCAATTAAACAAATGTATGACTAGCAGGATTCAAAGTTAAAGAAAATGCAAAACCCCAGCAGTGACAAAAATCAGACATTCTAGGCCCCAACTTAATTTCTTGACAACTTCAAGGTTTGTAAGGTCTGTTTCTGAGACCAGATTGGGATTTCAGCATCTTCATTCAAGACCCCACCCAGGAAACTAATCTATTAAAATCCCCAAATTTAAATAAAATCTATCCCCCGCAAATTTCACAAAGAATATTATGTCAATCTACCACCCAATCTTCCCCAACCCCTTTGTAGCAAAACCCCTCCCTAGAGAGAGTGCTAATATGCAAACAGCTGCTTCGCCTCAGAAACCGAAACGCTACTGTGCATTACCTCGGTGAGGATAGTGGTGTCGTAGGATGGCTGGTACTTTTCTTTCTCGTGAGCCGTTCTCTTCTCCATCTTCTCCCGGTCCGTTTTTTGTTTCCTGTCTGCACCTTTAGGCTTAAAAACAAAACAGATGATCTCATCCATCAGGTTGAAGATGGACAATTTACAAGCAAAACTGGGCCTTAGTTACTAAAAGCCTCGTTTCTATCACTTACCTTAAACACTTTGATTTGGCAGCTAGCCGAGTGGAGATGATCCGTGTACTCTCCGTTCTCATTCTGCTTAAAGGTGTCAACCTGAATCCTAAAAGGCACCCCCTTCTCACCTCCATGCTTCCGGGGAGTAAACTCTGTGCTGATGCAGTGCACCTGGAAAAGAACTCAAGCTGAAAGGGACTCAAAGTACCGCCCACTGAGTCTCCTTCAATTTGGCTCCTTCTCAGGTGTTCTGCCACAGCCATAAATTCAGGATCCTTCCAAACAAACTCCTGCATATTAGCCAGACGGCTGTCATGAATTCCTCTGCGTGGCTTTCCTTTCATAAATCCAACTGGGCCTTTCTGAACTTTCTAGCAATGAGCTCTTCCCCAGTCCAATGCCTCTCCTCTCACACAGGACTTGTTCGGGTCACGCGGACGTCTCCTACCTCCACACTCTGGACCAAATGATGCTCTCAGCCCCAGCGTCCTTGGCCTTGCACGTGGCTCAGTGCACAGCAACCGACCCCTAACTGCTGAGAGCTTCTGTCGCCTGCCCTCTTCTGTCACCACCTGGACTCTAGCCAGCCCATCAGGCTCCTGCTGTGCCTACACACACTTATGAGACCACCTAGGGGCCTGGGGGCATGGCCACGACTCACCGTGCCCATATCGATCTGAACTCTGCTGTCAACCTTCAAAGTTCACCGAGGACAACGCTCATCTCCCACCACTTCCGCCCCTCTCCTGGCACCAGCACAATGTCAACTAACATGAACCGTGTCCCTAGTGACTATTCATTAGCAAGAGACAGTATTTGGTAAACCACAAAAAACACAAAATAGTAAAGATTCTTAAAAAATAAATACATAAGTAAACAAATATTCTTTACAGTTCATACAAATCAGAGACTACTTAGGTTGATCAGCAATTAAGCAATCTCCCTTTCCACATAAACATTACTTACTCAGTTTTAATTCCACCACTTCCAAATATACATTCATATACTGAATATACATTAATACTTCTAAAAAACTCTTCTCTTAAAGATACAAACTGAGGATTTATGGGTGAAGTGAGATGCCTGGGAGTTGCTTTAAAGTATTCCATCAATAACGAAAACAGAGGAAACTACTAAATAACTGTTGAAGCCAGGTGATGGGTACATGGAAGATTCATCATTATTATTCTCTTACTTTTGTGGGGTTTGAAATTTTCAGTATTAGAAATGTCTTTAAATTATGCTAGAGAGAAAATCTTAAAACTGTACACTTTTTTTCAATCCCACCCTTTTATTCTACTTTATTTTTTTAAGTAAACTCTACGCCCAATGTGGAGCTTGAACTTACGACCCCGAGACCAAGATTCATATGTTCTACTGACTAAGCCAGCCAGGCGCCCCAATCCTACCCTTTTAAACAGCTTTTATTCAAGAGAAATGCATCTTATGAAAAACAGAAGTTTTGATTACTGTCACTAACCATGCTAAAAGTTAACGTCTGTATAATGCTTTACATATCCGACTGTCTTTGTATATGTTAGCCTATAAATGACGGATTTAGTAAATTAACTCCAATTTAACAGTATATATGTAATTAAAATATATATAAAATAGAAGACATTACAAGATAGCTTACAAATAAGCATTTAAAGAAGGTAACATCATGGGACGCCTGGGTGGCTCAGTCGGTTAAGCGTCTGCCTTCAGCTCAGGTCATGATCCCGGGGTCCTGGGATCGAGTCCCGCATCGGGCTCCCTGCTCCGCAGGGAGCCTGCTTCTCCCTCTGCCTCTCTCTCTCTCTCTCATGAATAAATAAATAAAATCTTTAAAAAAAAATAAAAATAAAAAAAAAAGAAGGTAACATCATGTGTCAAGAATTTAATCTCATCCATGGCCTTTTAAATGACTAGGCAAGTATACTAATAATGCAAAAACTCCAAACCTGAATGAAAGCAGATGTGCGCTTTGCAGGGTCCCACAGAAATTCAACCGCATTTAACTGGCTTGGATTTGTCCTTGTGTCAATTATTCCCACAGACATTGGAATATCTGTATTTTAAAAAGAGTTACATAGAAACTCATCCACTACAAATAATTAAAAAGCTTACAACTTACTATAATTATGTTCACATGCAATTATTTCACCTCCATGCAGAACCTTTTCCGTCAGCGTTTTCCCAGTCAGCGATGCTAACATCGAAACCCACCCAATGCGATCAGACTTTCTCCACCATGGTTTCTATTTCATTTTATTCAACATACAATGGATGGTGCCAACTGAGAATTAAATAAATTATTTCAAAACTCCAAATTCCTGGCTCAGGTTCTTTTAGAGCTAAAAAACCACTTCATTTCTAAACTACAGAACAACTCAAGGCACACCGGATCTGCTAACACCAAAACTCTCTCCCTACAATTATACACGGTGCCTTCCCTACCCACCACGCACAGCTAAACAACTGCCTGAATCTCTCCAGAGTCTTCTGACAGCCACTTGTACCTAAATCGAGAAGTCTGTCTCCTGGACGATTCCACTTCCAGCCTTCAAGTTGCTGATGCTCTGTATATTGTAGCCGTCTGTCATGGAATACAACTCTTATGATGCTCTATGGAACAAGTGGGGAAAATGAGTACTTTTAAACTGGTCCAGCTAAAATGCAGAAGCATTTTCACTTCTTACTCATTAACCCATAATAGAAGAGTATACCAAAAAAAATTCTGCTCTACACATTTTCTAAGTGAACTGCTTTGTTCTTGGAGTATCTGAATAACTCAAAGAAAAGGCACAAATAAAATGATTACTTAGGTAAAATTTTTATTTACAATCTGATATTGCAATTCAAAATTAAGGTACACGCCCATAAAATCAGTGAGCAAGAATTCTATTTCTATGAAGAAAACATCGGATGCAGACAGGAATTACTAAAGTCAAAGAGTAGTATAAAGAGAAACAGAGAAACCCAGGTACAATGGTAAAACTGTTCATTTAAAATAAGTTAATAAATGAACTTCTTTAAAGATCATCAAGGATGAATACTAATATACAGAAATGCTGAATCATTATATTGTATACCTGAAACTAATATAACACTGCATGTTAATTATACTTCAATGAAATTAAAAAATAAAGAGATAGTCAAGGAATAGGTGGGGGGATCTGCAAAATAAGATCCAGCAAAAAAAAAAAAACACCACATATGCAAAAGTAATTCTCTACTATTTCATTTGCAAGGCGTTATCTGAGGTAAGCAAGGGGGGGAAAAAAAAAAAACACCAACCCACAGGTAAACTTGATCCAAACACTACGGTTCCTAGGTAAGACTTTACTCCACAAACTCTGGGCCAGTTCTCTGCTCTCCACCCATCCCTCCTTTGCCTCCCACAGGTTTGGAGTGCCAAGTATTGTTTCATTCCAGGAACAGGAAAACAGGTCATCCAAATGCCTTCAGATACCACATTTGCACGAATTCATGTTTGTGACACATTTGTGATAACTTTCCCATGATGCAATAAGATATTCATATTTCCAGTAGATGCTCTGGTATAAATAGGAAATAATTTGTTACCAATACATATAAATATTACTTTAGTGCCCCTGTCTTCCCTACCCACCAGGTACTGCCCATAGCAGATAAATTTTGAAGCAAACTATTTAAAAGTAGCCGTATTTATTTTTTAAAGATTTTATTTATTTATTTGAGAGAGAGAGCGAGAGAGCACAGAGCAGGGAGAAGAGGGAGAAGCAGGCTCCCTGCAAGCAGGGAGCCCAATGTGGGGCTCGATCGCTGGACCCCGGAATTATGACCTGAGCTGAAGGCAGATGCCCAACCGATTGAGCCACCCAAGCGTCCCAAAGTAGCCGTATTTTAATTTGAAACACAGCTGACCCTTGACAACATGGGGCTTAGGGGCGTTGAACCCCCGCCAAAACTTAAGTACTTAATAGCCTACTGTTGACTAGACACTTTACCGATAACAACAGCCGAGGAACATATATTTTATATGTTATATATATTATATACTGCTTTCTTAAAGTAAGCTAGAGAAAAGGAAACAGTTACAAAGAAAATCGTAAGAGAAAATACATTTAGAGTACTGTACTGTATTTACTGAAAAAATCTGCCTGTAAATGGACCCACACCGTTCAAAGCTGTGTTGTTCAAGGGTCAACTGTCGTTTAAAAAGAGGCCAAGTCAGTCGTCAGGACCAAAGTAGAAATCTACAAAGGCACGGTCGCTGCTCTGATTCAAGCCCATCTGCCTTCCCCACCTGCACCCGCATGCACAGGGCCTGCCCAGGCGGTCCACTACACCCACTTCACGCCACCGCCTGCAGGCAGCAAAGCCTCACAGTGAAGGTACACGGGCTGGGGGCAGCCCCTGGGTCACTCACCAACACGCTGAACTCAGAATAAAGTGCAGCAGAGAAATGACATGATTTTGATTCTTCCGTATTTAACTGAATCCACAAATTCAGATGAAAATAGCATGAGAATGTAAGTACCAGATTTGAGAGCTTTACTAAACGCCATTCTAGGAGGTCAGACTAAGATAGTTCAGTAAGGAATATGAAAGGAGAACCATAGTTAAGAAGTGGCAATATATAAAAGAAAACTTAAATGAAATTGGAAGGGAAAAAGTCATGAACTCAGACACCCAGCAACAGATAAAGGGGCCCTGACAATACGACAAATAGAACAAGCACCTCATTGAGTACAGGAAGCACTTTCACCAAGTTCCAAAGCACCCCTGCCACCCCACCCTTTGTCCCCCAAGACTCCCCCACAGTAGCAGAGTCAAAGATCGTGGAGCCAGGAATCAGACTTGGGGAGCTTCTAGGTAAAAAAGGACGTGATTTGGGGGAAATGCACCGTGTAGCCTGTGGCGGTGGCCGACTGTGGCTCTGCATCCAGGGCAGACTCTCGGGATCTAACCAGACGTTTTCTGGCACAGCCACCACATATGAGACAAGTGGCTTATCAAGGGGAGATGAAACCGACTTAAGACCTTTTAAAAATTAACCTTTCCAATCCGGAAGCTAACTGTTTAGGGAAACTGATGCTTTCAAATTAAGTACCCTTGTCTAGGCAGAATATGCTGATTTAATGTCAACAAAACCTCTACTTTGCGCTTGTAGGGGGATGGTTTCTTTACTGTCAACAGTTCCCTATCTCATGATAAAGGGTCGTTTTTTGCCTTCATTTCTTAACTTGTGTTAATTGTGTATATTAAATGTTCTTACGTATTTTAATTTGGAACTAAATTCCAGGAAGCTGAATTTAAAACAGTCATGTAACAACATAACTAATCCTGCCATTCCAACTTAATCTGACAGATATTTTTAACTAGCTTACCAAAAGTATTTTAAACATTAAGTCTCCTCTATCAGACTGGTCCTTTCTAAATCTCACCACCTATTCACAGTGAACCTCCCTAGAAAGCCATTTATCTTCACTGATAAATAACAAACGGCTTCAAAAGTGACTTTCTCCAGTGCTTTGATGGAAACTTAATTTTGGCATTGGATCCACATGCCAAAGTGTGTTTTATTTTCCTGAGGATGCTGAATAGCTATGAATGACGAGCTTAGTTAAAATTACTGTTTAAAAGAGGAATTAAAATTATGAGTTAGTAAATTCTGTAGTCCAGCCAAAAAAAAATGGAAAAGGAAAAAGGAAAAAAAAAAAAAAACAAGCACAAGGGGGGAACAAATAAAACAAGACTGGCAAACTGCTGACAGTTGTGGCCACTGGTGGGAGAATTTATCCTGGGCACCCATGACACACATGTGAAATTCATCAGAAACCACCACATGATAAACACATGTGGATGCACCATACCATTCTACCTCTGGGTATGTTTGAATTTTACCAGATAAGTAGTTTTTTAGTAGTATTCTAATATTTTTGGATCCAGTTTTAAGGCTCTCAATACAGGGCACATAATAATGCCTTACTCCATTTTATAGACAAATCTACAATTTAAACAATTTTTCTACACTTCTACACTGATTTAAAAAAAAAACACAAAAAAACAGCATCTCACAGCCACCAAATGTATATGTAACTTTCATAGGGACAAAAGAGTTCACCCACATCTTCCCTTAAAATACGTATCATTGGTTGGATTTTAACTGGGTGTGAGACAATTGGTAGATCTGCTGAAGGTGAGCCAGGGTGCCCAATGGCCTGACAATAAGCCAGCTTGGGACCAGGGCATTCTGAGAGAATCTTGGACATTCCTAAGCTTCCTACACACTGGAAAATGAGAGCTGTTAAGTCTGGCTCCTCCATTTGTCACTATTTGTCATAAAAGCCCAGCAGAGAACAGCCAATCCAAGTAAAGCTTGCTCACTCTGAACGCTGATGGCTTTTTTAAATGGTGAGCCCAATCAGTATGCACTACGGTCAGAATGCCAATAGGAGGGAATGAAAAAAATAAGACCATCTGACTTACCCTCCAGGGAAATGACCAAATCCACTAATAGGGCATAGACACGATAGACTCAGAGTACAAATGGCAAAAATAACCTCTCTCTCTGTTCCAGGTAAGATAGGAGCCCCGGGGGGCACCTGGGTGGCTCAGTTAGTTAAGCGTCTGCCTTCAGCTCAGGTCATGATCCCAGGGTCATGGGATCGAGCCCCACATCGGCCTCCCTGCTCCATGGGAAGCCTGCTTCTCCCTCTCCCACTCCCCCTGCTTGTGTTCCCTCTCTCGCTGTGTCTCTCTGTCAAATAAATAAAATCTTAAAACAAAAAAAAAGGAGCCCCGGGAGTCAGAAGAAGTCTGGGAGTTCACTCCAAGTTGGCAAGACACTGATCGGCGGGGCGCAGACTCCCAACTTTCCCTCAACCTCCCACAGGACTGGGGACTTCCTGCCCCCGAGAATGGGAGGAACATTAAAACATCCCAAAGACTCTCAAGGCCTCTGTGTGCTGGGCAACTGGCTTTCCCAGAGAAGCCAAATTTGTTAGCCTTAATATTAGTATCCATTCCCCCTGTGAAGGCTGTCTTTCCCCACACTCGCCCTCTAAAAAGGCAGATCCACAGAGGGGAGTCTTTCCAATGGAATGCCTCTCCATACTGAGGGCCCAGCAGTGCCCAGGCCCCTATATGCCTCTCTGTGGGAAGATGGAAGCATCAAGAGAACTCATGCCTGCTTCTCTCTTGCTAACAGTTAGATGAAGTTCTGCCTTCCTCCAATTAAGCTTCTTCCAGAAGTCTTGCCCTGTAATACTGTGGATTTATAATACACCGTGGTGTGTGACAGGTAGAGGCTAGAGGACCCACCCTGCATGACACTGGAGGGGACAGAGATGGTTCTGAAGATATATCCTAAGAGGGATGAGCTACACTTGGAATGACTGCCTTCATTCAGATACATCAACAGAATGAACAGAGAGTTCAAATTTTACTTAGACAAATTTAAGAGGTGAAATAAAAGGGTTTTAAAGAGTTTCATATTAACACTTACATTTCCCCCCATATTATCTTTAACTTTTAAAGAAAAACTTAAAAGTCTTCATTGTGGTGGTAGATTTTTTCCCCATAGCCACAACTATGGTACCTTAGTTTCCAAAGGGCTTTCACATTTATTTCACCCAATAACTGCTATCATTTCTGTTTTACAGATAAGTAAATAAAGTATAGCTCAAAAAGTTAGGAGTTTCAATATAGCCATTAATTCTTAAAGTGAAATTAAATGATTTTTAAATAACTCTTACGCAAAAAACCCCAAAACTTTTACAGCAAAACTGCTACTTTTTTCAATCATTGTAATATCTGTTAGCAATTAAGATGGCTCATCCTTACCTTTACCAATTTTCCAGTGATCTCAGGCATATCTCCCATTTTCCGGTTATCCAGCATCCGAATTTCGTAAGACTGACCTATTTTAAATAAATTACTGAATGTAAAGAAACTGTGTATCACCAACAATCCATATAAAGAACATGACTCTGTTTAACATAAAAATTCAATGGTCTCTCAGAGCGCCTGGGTGGCTCGGTAGGTTGAGCAAAGGACTCTTGATCTCGACTCAGGTCATGATCTTGGGGTCGTGGGATGGAGCCCTGCATCGGGCTCTGTGCTCAGTGCTGGGTCTGCTTGGGATTCTCTTTCCTTCCTCCTGTACTCCTCCTCCTCCCAACTTGTGTGTGGGTGTGTGTGTACGCGCAGGAGCACATACGAGTTTGCTCTCTCTCTCTCTAGTAAGTAAATAAAATCTTTAAAAGAAAAAATTCAACTGTCTCTCAACTAGAGAAGCAAATTCAGGTTGATCTTTCTCTTCCCTGCAAACACCATCCTCTCCTTCTTGCACAATTACAGAAGACTGAAGAGTTTCTCTCCCAATTTATTTTCATTTGCTATAGTCCCACATACTAAATTTTTATTATGCATACATGCATAATCCAAGACCAAATTTTTATCAGTTTTATTGAGATATAACTTATATACCATAAAATTCACCCTTTTATTTTTTTTTTTTTAAAGATTTTATTTATTGGGGCGCCTGGGTGGCTCAGGCTGTTAAGCGTCTGCCTTCAGCTCAGGTCATGATCCCAGCGTCCTGGGATCGAGCCCCACATCGGGCTCCCTGCTCAGCTGGAAGCCTGCTTCTCCCTCTCCTACTCCCCCTGCTTGTGTTCCCTCTCTCTCTGTCTCTATGTCAAATAAATAAAATTTAAGAAAAAAATCTTAAAAAAAAAAAGATTTTATTTACTTACTTGACAGAGAGAGAGACAGCGAGAAAGGGAACACAAGCAGGGGGAGTGGGAGAGGGAGAAGCAGGCCTCCCACCGAGCAGGGAGCCTGATGCGGGGCTCGATCCCTGGACCCTGGGATCATGACCCCAGCTGAAGGCAGTTGCTTAACCAACTGAACCACCCAGACGCCTCCACCCTTTAAAAAAAAAAAAATGTACAATTAACTGGTTTTTAGTACATTCAGAATTGTGTAACCATCACACTACCAATTTTAGAGCATTTTCATCACCCACAAAAGAAAATCCTACTCCTCAGCAGTCACTTTCCATCCTCGCCCACCCCAGCCCCTAGAAACCCCTCATCAATCTACTTTCTGTCTCTAGGGATTTACCTACTTAACACATTTGATACAAATGGAATCACACAGTATGTGATTAACTGACTTCTTTTACTAAGCATATTTTCAAGTTTCTCACATGTTGTAGCAGGGCAGATCTCCCTTTTGTTGTGCTCTGCTTTATCACACTTTGCAGAAATTATGGTTTTTTATAATTGAAGGTTTGTGACAACCCTGCATCAAACAAGTCTATCAGGGCGCCCTTCTTCCAACAGCATCCGCTCACTTTGTGTCTCTGCATCACATTTTGTGATTCTCACAATATTTTGAACTTTTTCATTATTATATTTGTTATGGTGAACTGTGATCAGTCATTATAGCTCACTTTTTAAGCAATAAAGTATTTTTTAATTAAAAATGTTGGGGCATCTGGGTGGCTCAGTTGGTCAAGCATCTACCTTCGGCTCAGGTCGTGATCCCAGGGTCCTGGGATTGAGCCCCATGTTGGGCTCCCTGCTCAGTGGGGAGCATGCTCCTCCCTCTCCCACTCCCCCTGCTTGTGCTCTGTCAAATAAATAAAATCTTAAAAAAAAAAGGCATATACATGTTTTCTTAGACATTAATGCTACCCCACACTTAACAGACTCAGGATGGTGTCAAGATAACTTTTATATGCACTGAGAACCCAAAAAACCCATCTGACTCACTTTCGGGCTACATTTACTTCATTGTGAAGGTCTGGAACAGAACCTGCAGTATGTCCGAGGTGTGCCTGGACTGTACTCCTTTCTATTGCAAATATTATTTCACTGCACAAACATACCACATTTTGTTCATCCATTCATCAACTGATGGACATCTGGGTTGTTTCTCCTTCATGGCTATTATGAGTAATGATACTATGAACATTTGTGTACTGCATTTTGTGTGAGCCCAGACCAAATTTTAATGCTAGAGCCTTCTTCCTTGTGACCAATGAACCCAACTCACATTCTCTCACTGCTCGGTTAGTGTCCGTAAGAAAACACAAACAGATATTCACACACCAACTTTATAATTAGGAAAATAAGCTGCTGCCAAAAGTTAAGAATGTACTCCAAACCCACAAAAATGATTTCTGGATTATCTGTCATTAAGTAATAAAGACAGTATACTTTGATATGGAGAAAATCAACAGTAATTAAGGAGTTCTTCTAGTACTATATGAAGTTGGGGATCTTTATGGTCTAGTCCACACTCCAATGGGGCTTACCCTGTATAAAAATATACAAAGGGTACTAGATCATACGGTCACATAACACAACCAAATCACTCCAAAGCTGGTGAAAGAAAACCATTATATAGAGTATGTTACTAAGGAAGAGTCCTTAAGTCATTCAATGAATTGAGAGAGATACCACTAATACTATGGCAAAAGACATTTAAAAAGTTAAATTTGCAACATACTTAACAAAGGATCTAAGCTCAGAAAATAAGAAATTTCAAAATAAAGCACATAAAATAGGCATTTTTTAAAACTATACCATCATACACTTAAAATTACACTCAACCTCACAAAAATTTAGGCAATAAAAATTAAAATGTCTGTGGCTATCAGATCAACAAAAAATGTTTAATTAAAAACCACATGGATGAGGAGAGGGGAGAAATAAGCACATAAAATGTGGGAGGAATATGAACTGATAAAAGTCTTTCTGAAAACCAACCTGGCTACCCCTGTTAAGTTAAACACTATATTCTTTGACTCAGGGATTCTGACAAATCATTACAAACAGGAAAAATGCAAGAGAGGCAATATCTGCAACTCACATTAGACACAAAGGGTTATGCTCCCTAATACAAACAACTTTACAAAATCACAAATGCCCAACATCCCTATAAGAAAATGAGCAAATGACACGAACAAGTGGTTCACAAAAGAAGGAAATGCCAACAGTTCTTAAATATATTAAAAGACATCCAATCTCCACCAGAGATATGCAAATTAAAATCACACTGAAATCAATTTTCACTTATCAGGTTAGCATAAATCCCTCAGTCTGAAACAGTCGCTCAAATACGGACAGCAGGAGTGGAGATGGTAAGAAACTGCCACTCCAGAGATTATTTTGAAGGGAGAGCCTACGCATTTGCTGGTGTATTAGATGTACAGTGTAAGAGAAAAAAAAAAAAGAGTTGAGGATGATTCCAAATTTTTGGAAGGTCCTGAACATGAGGAAGACCACCAGGAGTAGATTTGGGGGAGAAAATCAAAAGTGCAATTGAACACATTAAGTCTGAGATAACTACTGGCCATCCAAATTGATAACCAGGTTGATTTACAAATCTGGACCTAAGAGGAAGAAATCCTGATTGGAGATATTAACAGAGGACTTTTCAGGGTTACAGCTGTTAGGTAAAGCCACTTAAATACAAGATCATCTGAGGTGTGAGTGTAGAAAAAGAGCAGAGGGTCAAGACACTTCCCTGGGATAGATAGTAACCCAAAGAAAAGCAGCCAGTGAGATGGAAAGTGAAAGAGGTGCATAGCAACCTGCCCAGAACAGAGAGAAAACTTGTCCCACCAGGATTATCTTATGATCCTCAAAATCTCAAAATTCTCAGGATTAAAAAAATCAAATAAAGGACAAAACCTCCATGTTCCTGTCTTCCTTTGTATCATTTTTCCTAGTCAACCTAACAAGGATACTTCTGTGCTCAATATAAAGTTCAGTCTGTTTCCACAAATACATCTCAGGATCTGTTGCTCCTATATTAAAGCACTGCAGACTTTTATTCTTCTAAAATCAATCTTTTTTTTAAAGGCTCCATAATACTTGTTATTCTTCAAATGGTTTCTCTAGGGGCACCTGGCTGGCTCAATCAGTGGACCATGCGACTCTTGATCTTGCGGTTTTGAGTTCAAGCCCCATGCTGGGTATAAAGATTGCTTAAAAATAAAATCTTTAGGGGCACCTGGGTGGCTCAGTTAGTTGAGCATCTGACTTCGGCTCAGGTCATGATCTCAGGGTCCTCAGATCGAGCCCCATCTTGGACGCCCTGCTCATCGAGGAGTCAGTCTGCTTCTCCCTCTCCCTCTGTCAACTACCTTATGTGGAGAGTATTAAATTAAGGAACTTGCCTAGGCTAGCAAGTGATGGAATGGGATCCACACACAGGCAGCCCCCTTCCAGAGACTGCAGACTCACCATGGCCCTTCTCCACCTCCCACCTCACCACATGCAGAAAAAGACACAAGATACTTTTAAATCACTGCTCACTGTAACTAGGTGAAACATTTAAAAGAAACCAAAAGGTATGTGAAGAATGTGCTTAAGGACATCTAACAGGCAATGGAAGTGTTTATATCCTAGCAGTGCTGTTTCATGGGCAACCATGTATGACAGCATCTACCAGGCCTTACTACAGAGATGCTAGGTTTAAGTTCTTTTTTACATTTCATCCTTTAGTGACAAGACCATCAGATTCACCACAACCACGCTTAAGCACACAACTCACCCATCACATGAACAAGTAAGTTTACTGGAATAAATTCAATAAAATATTAATGGTATAAATTTTTGTCATACAAAGACTGTCCTAAAACACGATTAGAATCTTCTTAGGTATTTTAAAATGGTTCTAATTCAGTGGCTGCCTGAGGCAAGCAGAACTCAATAACTGGGAGATAGGGAAAGAAGACTTTTTATTGTATACCCTTTCATACCTTGCGAATTTTGTAGTACGTATATAAATCATCTACTTAAACTGTTAAATTTTAAATGTTGCCAATTAACTAAAAACCTAGAAAACACTGCAACTATTCCAGTAAAGAGACTTCGTAGTTAAGAAAGCTAGATTTGGAATC